ATCAAAACATGATGTGGGATTCTATAAAGTGGTTTGTGTATCAGGAGAGCTGGAAACCTCTCACTGCCCTCTATAAGAATAGCCCGCCTAACCCAGGGGCTGGCTACTCCTGAGACAGAGGCCACAGCCAATTTAGTTTCTCTCTTCACTGTCTCCACTCTCCTGTCAGCTCAGTCACACCAGGTGGCACACAACAGCTTCTCACACGACACACACTCGTCCGTGCCCGGTGGCGTTCACGCAGGGTGTCGGTGCAGAGCAAAGTGAAGGACGGAAATGCTTGTGCAAAGGTACGTAATCATCTTGGTGCATGCATGCATACACCCAACCGGCAACACTTTGTAATGGTGTTAGTCCATTTGACAAGCCCATTAAAGAGGTGTTTCTGTCTCATGCTGTTCTGGCTGCAGGATGTCAGACAAATGGACTTGCTGACAAGCATTTTTATTTTATTTCACTGAAGTGAACAGTCAAAATTCAGGTAAATTAAAAATCTTCTCCTTGGTTTAATACATTACCTGAATATGTATGTTTTTGTATACTTGAATTCGTTTTTGGGATCGTGCCTGTAAAATACAGACCAAACATTAGCATTGCTTAACAAATATTCAGCTAAAAACTGATGTTTAACACATTCAATACTTTCCTAGCTGGTTTCTAATGGGTTTTATTTGTGCCCCTTTTATTAGTTGTAGACACACAAAGAGAATTAGCCAATCAGCTACCGCAGAAAACAGCGAAAAAGCTTCCACTGCCATGTTAGCATACATGCTAGCAACTGAGCTTACAGCTAATAAGTACATGCTAACACGCTCATGCTGATAATACTAGGAGGTTGATTTTATTGTTACTAATTATTTTTTATATATATATGGGTTTTTTTAATCATATTGACAATAATTGTGTGTGTTATGCTAATGACTATGACTACTGAAAATGAATGGAAAAATAAATAGAAATGTAAAAACAAAATAAAAATAAATAAAATGAAAATAAAAATTTACATAAGGCAGCGCTAACTAACAAGTTCGAATAATTATTTCAAAATTTCAACTGACTTCTGAGTAACTCAAGATTTTAAGATACTAATACTACTAATAATGATACTAATAATACTAATAGAAATTCTGATTTATGGATGAAAAATTATAAAGGCTTGATGATATATTTCCTATTAATGTCTCATCTCATAAAGGCCAGCCAATGGCCAGCTGTCTCAGCTCCATCATCATCATCATCATCATACTTTTCACACAATAATGTTTTCAAATGAACATGTTTGGCACAAGTCTCCCCATCCGGTCCAGCAGATGGCCCCGCCCCTCCCTGAGCCTGGTTCTGCCAGAGGTTTCTTCCTGTTAAAGGGAGTTTTTCCTTCCCACTGTCACCAAAGTGCTTGCTCATAGGGGGTCATATGGTTGTTGAAGTTTTCTCTGTTAATATTATTATAGGATCTACCTTACAATATAAAGCACCTTGAGGTGATTTTGTGATTTGGCGTGGTATAAATAAAACTGAATTGAAGTCACATCTAAGCATGTATGCTGGCATGAATTGTTTATAGTAAGACTGGAATCTGAGGAGTCTGAGATAAAGTATTCTGTGCTGACTGTCTACTGACTCATCATCCAGCAGTCTGCATGCGTCTCTACAAAGGCCTGCAGAGTCACTGTCCAAACAGTGATTGGCTAAAGCTGGGCCGTGTCTTCTTGGAAGCATTGGCCAACTAATAGCCCCGATGCTCACCAGCACGCCGTCAGTGTCTTTGTGATCGTTAGTCTTTCACATGAGCTGACGACTTCAGAGTGAGTCAGTGAATTTGATTTCACTGCGGTAGAGGGGCTGAGCTGGGCGAGGAGTGGCTTCTCCCTGTGTTGTCCTTTCTTTCTCCTCTTCTTCACACACACACACACACACACACACACACACACACACACACACACACACACACACACACACACACTTCTTCTTGTCCTCCTATTATTTTTCCTTCCCCACCTCCTCCTCCTCCCCTCTCATCCACAGCTTCCACCTCCCTCGGGTGGGCCCCTTGCGCCCACAGTCTCACAGCAATCAAAACACTAAAGGCTAACTCTCCCACGACTTTCCTGTTTCCCACTGATTTCACTCTAACTCTACTGGATGCCAGATAAGTACCAGAGATATTATTCCAATAATTTGAGTTGAGATCCAATAATTATGTAGTGGGGCTTTGTGTGTGCATGCACATGGGTGTGTGCGTCTGTGTAAACAGGGTGTGTTTCATATGGTAACTTGGCTTAGGATGACATCATAGAGCAGCTGAGGACCTTCTTCTCAGACAATAAAGAGCTCCACAGTGCTACCTAGTGGTACAGATATTACAAAGCATTTATGATTCACACATAACCAGTGGCAGATAAAGAGTACACATCTTTGTTATGGTAAAAATAATCCTCTCTCTCTCTCTATGTGTATACATAGCAATAGGACAAAATGAAAGCCTTCATTTGCTAATACAGGTCAAAAAATATTTTAACTTGTAATACTGCCACAGCTGTAAAATCTGAACTTTACACTTTATAAGGTGATCCTATCCATTGCATGGAAGTCTTGTATCAGGCTAATCAGTGATGGAGATGCATCCCATAATGTTGCTGATTTAAACGTCAAAAACATAAAATGAGTGTGGACTGCACGTCTTGGCAGAGAAAAGAAGCCCTGGCGGCCCACTTTTTCCCTGCACTGAAATCTGTTCAACCCTCCAGCATCTGACAGGTCTCCGGGGACTTTCCTCCCTAAGGAGGGTTCAGCGGAAAACTGGTGTTCAAAGCAGCCCAGCCCCTGCCAGATTAGCCTTGTTCGTGGAGGGCTTTTACCTCCGTGAAAAAGGGTGCCACTCAGGACTCAGTGGGAAGTTGCCATCGATCGATATTAGACTCTTTCTTTCTCAGTCTATCATTGTAGAGCCAATAAGACTTTAACACTTTATTGGTTTTACTTTATTTGGACTTATGGTTTATATCTAAAGACTTCACCTACCACGTCCATACAAACCTCAGAACTATACAGTACAGAGTCCTGAGACCATGATGATGTACTGTTGGTATTATGTTTTGGCTTTTCATATACTTCATTCAGCCCAATAAAACATTTATTGCTTTGCTTTGCAAATAATACGGAGCCCCGCAGGGGACATGGGAGAGAAAAAAATTAAGACGGACTTTTGCGAGATCTCGCAAAACTAACTCGGGATCTCACAAAAGTTTTGCAAGATTTCGCAAAAGTTTCATACAATATCCGAAAACATCGGAGCACTTTTGCAAATATGTGATATCTTGTAAACCGAGCAGATATCTGACGTTTACACAACTGCATTCACGCCTCAAAATATCTTTAAAATGTATTTTGTGACCCAGAAAGAGTAATATTACAACTAAGTAGCTGCCGCCATTGTTGGAATTCAACTTTTGCGAGATCTCGCAAAACTTTTGCGAGATCCCGCAAAATTCCGTCTTAATTTTTTTTTCTCCCATGTCCCCTGTGGCGCTCCGTAAAATAAAGCTATTGTAACTCATAGGAGTTCTTCTTTTTAAGTATGTAACATCTGATGACTCCCTGTTCAAAAGCAGTTTAGTTTCTATACTTATCAGGTCTCAAAACAAGAGTTTGGGTTTCAGTAGGATAATTATTAGCCAAGATGCCCATGTAAGGAAATCTGTGTCATGTTGATGCCTGCTCTGCCAAAGACTGGAAAACTCAAGCACTTTGAGCAGTGTGAAGTTCTAAATACTGGAAACCTGTTGCTTAATTTTGCTTAAATTGCACATGATGAACATCACAGAAGTTAAACTACGCAGGCGTGAAGACTTACCGAACCTGTCCATCAGGCACTGTCTCTGCAGAGTGCAAAAGTCCTGAGCCACCATTTGTTATATTTCACTATGAAAATGGGAATGGGTGCTGAGATTTATAGAAACAAAAACAGAGTTTGTACTTTGTCAAGCTTTCTTGTAATTTCTTTAAGTTATCTTGAGGAATATCTTCAGTCATCTTGAAGGACATTCAAAGCGCTTCTTTGGATGTTGGCTGCCTTGTGCTGCACACTCTGTAAAATGATCCCACACTGCTTCAATAATGTTCAGGTCCAGGCTCTGGGGAAGCCAATGCATGACTGAAAGTGTGTCGTTGTGTTTTTCTTTCTAGGTTTGCATTTACTTCTTTAGGAGTGTGTTTAGGATCATTGTCATACTGTAAAATGGAGCAGTTACCAATGAGCTTTCCAAACTGTATAGTGGTTCAAAATCTGATGATACTTTTCATCTTCTGTAAACAGTTTTTTTTAGGCTTGCCACTTTTTTTGCTTTTTTTATACCCCTCCTGTTCAATACTGCGCACATGCCGAGAATGATCAAATAATTATCTTTGCCATTTCTTGTGTTTTTGTACAAATAATGAAAAAACCCATAAAAAACATTTTTATCTAGCATTTTCTGAAGCTGGCAGGTCCTAGAATTCGTATTGTGCTGCTTTATCTACAGCAGTAAAATTAAAGGAGGCACGGGTTTCCCTCTTGTGGTCAGACAGCCTCATTACATACATGCTCTTACTCTTTCCACCCTTCGTGGCTAAAAAAAGCCATGAGCTTTTTGTCCCTGAATGAAAATCATTGTTCACTTTCTAGAAAACCACCATGTGATGAACCATTAGTTCTCCACATAGCACATAAGGGCCGCCACATGACAGCAGAAGGTCACACTCCAATCATGCGCTATAAGAGTGACTGGAAAGCAGTCTGAAATGGTAACGTGGTATTTCACTTAAATCCCTGATGAAGAACTTTTGATGCTCGTAAAAAATGATATCGTAGAGGCATGAGCTTTGTGCTTGTGTCATGGAAGCAATATGACTAAGATTATAGACTTTTATCACATCTGTTAAGACAATCTTGACTGATTATATTTATCGGACTTAATTCACATGCAATTCAGTCATTTAATAACACCAACACTAAACTCAAGTGACATTATAAACATGCTTTATTGTAGAGGACAATCTGATACATGAGAACCATTAGTGCAATTTGATTTTTTCCCCCTGTTTGAACACACACAATAACATTTCATGTATTTCATGTTGCTGTGGAGCTTTACCTGAAAACAGCCATTACTGTGGATAACCTACACCATACCAATGAATGAGTCCTGTGAAATTTGTTGAAACTATGATGTGCGGATAATCCCGAACCCCTCCAAGACAAATAAAACTAAACCCATTTGAATGTTTAGCTACTGCTACAGATAGATATCCACTGCCAGGATGCTGTTTAGTGTTTGTTTTCTCCTTTCATAGGAAAAGGGATGCAAATTTAACTGCGCTGTGTGACCATTTCAGTGTTTCATGAACATGGTGACCATAATTCTTTTTGTAAAATAAGCTAAATGCCAACAATAACTTCAGATACAGTTCACTGGGCTGTGTGATTTATATAAAAATAAAATTTGAACTTCAATATCCAGGTTACTGCTTCTTGAAAATCCTCTTGGCATCCACCCCTTCATAGTTGTAGCTCTGCAAAGACAAAAAGTGTCAATGGTTTGTGGAGACGTTTATTTATTGGGACTGAATTCGGGATCGACACCTTTGGACCTACTGACCTGCACGAGCTCTCCGCCCACCAGAGTTCTAGTAGTGGTCAGGAGCTTGTTGTTGTCTTTCCTGGTGAATTTGCCTTTCATCATGTCCCCCTCCATCTCCCATGCACCCTGGTTAAAAATATGCAGTCAAAGCACTCTTTAACACTCTCCCTTACTGTTTTACATTTGCATAAAAGCGACTTTTAATTCACCACAGAGTGAATTATTCACTGGAAACTGTTCCTTTGCTTTTAACTGCAGCTGGTTTCCACTATTTCCATTAGCAGAGAATCCATCATTCTTAAAAACAAGCTAGATTTGCCTAAAACAAACCATTTCTGGTTGCCTTTGTGCAATTATGGAACAGCACCTTGACCAAGTGCCTGTGCTTCAGTAATGTTTCTCTTTAGCGCACTCACTGAGACTTCAGTGCCATCAGCCAGGGTGTAGTCGAACGGAACGCCCAGAGTGAAGTCAACCTCTTTGGTGCGTAAAGTGCTGGACTCTTTGACGTGAAACTTGTCCCCGTTCTGCTCGATGGTGATCTTCAGGTTGTCGTGCTCTGCCACCTTGCGTTTCACAAGATTAACACCTTGTAAAACACAAAAAAGCATAGAAATATGAAACTGGATTGTTGAATGAATAGTTATTGGTCATTAACCCCTTGAGGTGATTTTATAGCCACATGATAGTGATTAGTGTTGTAATCAGTCCTAAGATGAATGCTGTTACAACAACTACATTAAAACCTAACATCTCACTGCTCTGTGCAGCACCTGCACAACCATACTGAACTCTATGGAAACACAGTTACACACATTATCCTCATAAATTCACACGGCCAGGCTCAGAAAAAACAGAGTTTAAGTGCATGGCTTGACAGTGAACTAAACACTGTCAAGTGCTCTCACACACACTCACCCATTTGCTCCATGAACTTGACATAGTTCTCACTGCGGTCGATCTTCCAGGTTCCATTAAAGGACATGGCTGCAGGCTCGTCGGGTTGAAGGCAGCTGATGATGAAGCGCTACAGCAGACCGTGAGATTGTGATTCCCCAAAGGCCTCAATTTATACACATCCACCCCTCCTTGAGCTGGCATGGAAGATGCTGTTCTTTATCTCACTGATTATCTGTCTGCTGATGTGGCCATTTAAAGACGGTGTCAAATGTAGGCCGATAGCTGCATGACCTCAAGGATACGCTGATAAATGACAGGAGGGCAACTCCCCTCTGCGAATCTGGCACAGTTAAACACTGTTGCACTGTTCTGCAGGGGGAAAAGAAAGGAGGGAGTTGTTTGAATGGGTGCCCCTTTCTGCTGCTCAATCTTTTCATTGTCACACAGTTTGTGCCTAGCATGAAAATGATGGTCCATTTAACAATGCATCCTTAGTGTGGCCTCATAGAGGACCCCAAACTTTCTATTTAGGACAGTTTGAGGACAATGTTAGTGTCAGCAAAGTTTCAGAACTGTAAAACTTTATTAACTTTATTTATATTTTCAAACAACATTAGGTTTATGAGTATTAAAAAAAACCAAAACTTGCATAGGCTGCATGCAATCCACCAGAATGAGTTTTTGTCACTGTTAAGTATTGTTGACTAAAAATATAATCCGTCTGTTTTAGGTCTCCATCAACTGACTTGTGGGATAACATTAAAAACAAACTGGATGTATGTTTTTATGAGCTTTAGCGATGAAAATAATGTTACCTTTACCAAAAGTGTTTCCAAAACTATCACCATCTGTAGCCCCACAACCCTGTCAGATGGACCCAAGCCCAAAAACCACCTCACAAGACTTCTCGAGGTAAAATGTGTTCATTTAAACATATTTTAAGCTTTATTTAGACTTTTTATTTTTATGTTTTTACCATTCATTGTTGTTTCATGTTCACCTTTAACAGTTTAGCTTGCATTGTTTCAATTGTTCGTCCAAAACTGCTAGCTAAACGTTTAACTGCTAGCCATAGCATTAGCGAAACAAATCAAGCTTTCATCAGTAATGTTTGGCTAATAAGTTAAATGGTTTACCCAGAATAATTATCAAACACGTTCTGTTGTCTTAGCACTCTCTCGTTTGTCTATTTCCTGCATTTTATCCGTTACCCTTGCTTAACTTTTAACATTTTTTCATCCAACCTGTTCAGAGTTGCTTCAGATCTTTATGTTACTTGTTTTCAGTCACTTGTGATAGTTTTATTGTATGGCATCTGCCTAATGTGAACGTACCTGCTGCAGTAAACTACATGTGTGTTTTATGGCTGGTGACTGTAGTTTTAAACTGTAGTTTAGTTTTTACTGTACATGTGAGGCTGTCACAAGTCCCCAGTCTGCTAGGGGAGACCAAGTTAGTTTCTAAATGATTTTTTTGACAACATGAATAACCGACATAACTTACTCCACCAAGAAAACATTTTCATGCAATAAATATTATAGAAAATGATAAATATGAATGGATTTTCAAACATAATAGCACTGTTAGCACAATGTTGATGAGGTTTAAGATGCATTGTTAGGGAGAGCAGACGAGATAGAGGACAAAACACTGCGGGTATTGTCCTTAGTTGTCATTAAGCTTGTGTCCATGGACAATGGGGCACTATAGCTGCATTCTTGAGCGGTAAAGCTGCACTCGGAGCTGCACAGCTCACTACATGAATACTGAATACTCTCTGTATACCTCTAGAGTTCCTCTCAGTCACCAAGAGATGCCACTTCCATTTAACAATGAAGCGGGTAAATCCAAACCGAAAGACACAGATGATGAAATAACACAGATCATATTTTAGATCTTGTTCACCAGTCAGTGTCAGTATCAGTGACATTTCCATATTCACTGCACACTCCTTGGCCCAAAATACAGCTGGGGTTGAAGCTACAGGATTCACATAAAAATGTGTGAATCCTGCAGCTGCAAAGGCCAAATGTTAGCGGTATGTGCGTCAGCTCAAAAACTCCTCACACTTTAAGCCCTGCTCGCTGCTGTTGTGTTTAATTGTGGTAATAATCTACCCACTGCGGTGGCAGTGTTGTAAATTTGCTGCTAAATTGTAATTTACGACAAAGCATGTATATATAATCTTAGTAATTTATATTTTACAAGGCACTCATTAGCACTAGCTTTGTTAACTTTGACAAAGCTACCTTTTGTCCCTGTTTCAAGTCTTTATTTGGCCTAACTGGCTGCTATAGTTTCATAACATGAACAGCAATTAAATAGTTTTGCAATTTATCTTACTAACCTCCAAATATTACTAAGAGGTAATTACAGCATTGTTACTTGATTACTTCCACACCACCTTTACTGCAGTCAATAAAAGACAGTTTGTACTTTGACTTTTGATTGTAATGACCTGATATGATGCCTCTGGTAAATTGAAGTGATAACTAGTGAGAATGTGACAGATAACAAATTTTTCTTTCCAACTTGTAATGCATTGAGTGTTTTATGATCTTTCTGTGAAGATATCTCTGCATCTACTGTGTGAGTTTGTACTATGACTCCTTTATAAAATTAGTAAAAGGGTATTGTATTCCATTCTTTTTTAAATATATATATTTTGGTCATGATTTTTCATAATGATTTTCCTCAGTTATTCTTAATAATCCTACATCATACTAGTAGATGAATATAATAACACCTCAGTGTGTGTGTGTGTGTGTGCGTGTGTGTTCTTATCAGATTTGATTCACAGTGCTGGGACAAAAAAAACTCTTTATTTTGATTGGTGTCAGTGCATCTATGACATCATCTTGTTCGTTATCAAGAGAAAAAAATTAAAATTTGGGTTTTTTTTACAAAAACATCAAGGTCTTTTCATTTATATTTTTCTTATTAGTGCTTAAGAGTTCGGGGTCACTTTTTAAAGTGCAGCACATAAATTGATTAGAATGGTGATTTGTGATGATTTATTAGGCTTTAAACAGGAGGCATGAACTTTGGAACCAGTTGCTGAACTCTGGTCTCTGTAAGTAGATAGCAGTGCAATAGGGTAAGCCTAAATGTACTCATCTGCCACTTTGTTAGGTACAACTGTTCACTCAATCTGTTCAGCCAGTCATACGGCATCAACTTCACTGGACAGATGTCAAGGTCAAGGTCAAGGTAGGTCAAGGTAACTTTATTTATACCCAAAGGCAAGGTAAATTTGCTTTACAGAAAAATGACAGCATTTGGCATCCCTTTAAAAACACAAACAAAAAGATGTGGTAAAGATGACCTGCTGAAGTTAAAACTGAGCATCTGAATGGGGAAGAAAATGATTTAAGTGACTCTGAAAGTGCCTGATGGGTTGGTCTAAGTATTCAGTATCTGCTGATCTACTGGGTAAAAATGCCTCGTTGATGTCAGAGCTCAGAGGAGAAAGGCCAGGCTGCTTTGAGCTGATAAGAAGGCAAAACTAAACTAAATAACTGCTCATTATAACCAAGGTATGCAACTCTGAAAACACACTAAAGCAGCAGAAAAAATTCCTGTCAGCTATGGGCAAGAAACCAAGGTTTAGAAATGCTCGACAAAAGTGGACAATGCAAGACTGGACAACATCTGATGAGTCGCAATTTTTCGTGCGTGTAAAATTTGGTACAAGATGAAAGCATGGATCCATCCTGCCTTGTATCAACAAGGTGGTGTAATGTGTGGGGGATAATTACTTGCCACACTTTGAACTGCTTAGTATCAACTGAGCATTATTTAAACACCACAGCTTTCCTAAATATTGTTGTCGGCCATGTCCATCCCTTTATAACCACAGTGCACTCTTCTTCTGATTACACCATGTCATCTTAAACTGGATTCTTGAACATAATGAGTTCACAATCCAATAAAGCGCCTTTGGGTTGTGGAGGAACAGGAGATCCTCATCATGGATGTGCGGCCAACAAGTCCGCAGCAACTGTGTGATGCTATCATGTCAACATGAACCAAACTCTCTGAGAATGTGCCATGAAGAGTTAATACATTTCTGAAGGATAAAGATGGTGTCCAACCCAGTACTATAGCAAGGTGCACCTGATTCAGTAAAGGACTAGATGTTACAATCCCTGAAATTGCATTGCTTTAAATGGCGAAAATCTCGAGGGATGGCTGTTATGAGGCAGCCCAGAAACTTTACCAGTGGTGCACATTGTTGTGTGCCTCAACTTTCGGTCTTTTACTTGAGCTAATCTGCCATTTTTTTCCTTGGTTAGGTTTAGGGATTAGAGATCTGATCTAGATTATCATATTCAAATTTGGGACACATTGTCAGTAGTGGACCTTGGATTCACCGGGTGTTTCGGCCATTATCACTAGACACCCTCATCCAAGGAGGCCCTGCCAGGGTTGATCAGGCCCTGGAGAGTTATTTGTTTTCTACAGTTTATTTTCTTTGATCTATTCACTGCAACTGACAAATAATATTTACCTCTTTAACATTTATGGAGCCTCACTTCTTCAAAGGGATTGAAAAGGTGATAGAGACAAGTAAGACAAAGGGGACAAGAGAGGAGAGAGCAGAGAGGAGAACTGGAAGGGGGGCACCTAATCTGGCTTCCCACACCTCCCCGCCGGATCGGGCTGTACAAAGCTGTTTGCTCGATGTAAATTGATTTATTGGCAGACATGTACAGATAAAGAAATTTTTTAGTAAAAAGGGAGGAAGAGAAAAACCTAGAAATGATACTATGTATATGTTGAAAATGTTACAATTTTACTAGAAAATGTATTTAGTTTTATTTAGAGGTGAAATGTTTTTTTGCTGGAACGTCGGATTTTAGTTCCCTGCCCTCATGCTTGCCTTTAAGGATCAAACTTGATGGACTTGCCGCCGGTGCGTCGAGCTACCTGGGGGGCTCTTCAACTGGTGGGGGAGGTTGTCACATCTTGCAGGAGCTTTCCTCTCTTCAGGAACTCTCTCTGCAGGAGGGGGAGATACAGGAGAGGTGGAGGAAGATCTCAGCCTGGGCGTCTATTGTCTTATGTAGTCTGGAAGATGAGTGGATGGTGGGGTGGGTGCAGTTTTCTCTGTGGTGGGGTT